AAAAAAATAAAAACTCTTATAAATTAACCCAAACAAACCTTAAGTCCTCAAGTCTGTGGATGTACGTACTCATCCTCTTTTTAATGGGGTCCTTATTCCAATAATTTTTTTATGAGGTTAATATAATACAAATTGTTCTTCTAAAATTTTTTAAAACAATTTGTTTAAAAATTCACACTCTAATTAATGTTTTTAAAAATTAACTACGGAAAAGTTGTATTCATGTATATTATTTATGTCAATTTTTATATTAATTTAACATTTATAACTCCTTAATTATAATAATTCTATTTACTAATATATATCTAATAGTGTTAATCTTTGTGTAATCAATAACTTAGTTAAACTTACAAAAACAATTTAAAAATGAAACATACATGATTTATATAAATAAAATTTTTAATTTCATAGTTAAAATTTTAAAATATTAATTAAAAAATGACTTTTTATATTGTTGATACTAAATTTTTTTTTAAAGAACAATTTGAAAAGTGCTCTTATCTTTTTAAATTAAGAGAGAGTTGGAATATTATTTATCAAGAACACTTGGATAGAAAATCGCTTATATATAAGTTTTACATATTATATTTATATAAAATATTAATTATTTATTTTTTTATTTTTAATAATTAAGATTTATTTACACTTATTAAAGATAATTATTTTTTATTTAAAAAATCATAATAAATTTTAATTATTAAAAATGAAGAAATAAATAATCAAAATTTTATATAAATATAATATATAAAATTTATGTATGAATGGATACCTTCTTAAAACAATATAATCAATCATATATAGTTCCAGGCACTTTTACTTTTTAATTAACAATTGGTTGCCTTACCAACGACCTGTTGGTTCCAGTGGAAAGAGTTCAGTTCTTTTTGAGTAAAATTTTGAATTCAAGTTTTGTAAATGGAGAAACCAGCGCTGGGAGAGCTTCTCTTCTAATGGGATTTGATGTGATTCGATTCTAAATTAATCGGGATCTAACGGAGTTACCCAATATTGAGAGGTTAATACAAAAAAACAACTGGCTGCCTTAATCAATATAATTAATTAGATTATTAATTTGGGTCCTCAGCAATTAATTTTTAAGACAAGTGAACATTAGAACTTTGTACCAAAAAAATGCTAGAGACCGGACCCGCCTTTAGGTGACGAAATTGTATATATATATATATATATTGGTATCTAAGATTTTAAATTCATTGCCCAACCAATTTTATGGGTGGAGTTTTTGCAATATCTTAAATAATTAATAT